GTAAACATTGATCTAAACCAACACAAATGTAAATTAATTAATATACATATGTTATAGTTCAGCACTAACAACCTGAAAAAGCATAAAATGTTTTCTTTAACCACAATGACTCTTATTTTTAGTATCAGAGAATGGCCCTTATCTTTATTCAGTGTGCTTCATCTATGTTTTATTTAATTACACTACCCATTGGAGATGATACCAGCAAATGAGCCTTAGGTGTTGTGCCTTTGAGGCCCAGACCACAGCCAACCACATCACCACTTCATGTCTCATCATCCTGATGACACTGTTTAGTGTTTAGTTTGGTGTGAGGAAATGTAGGGGAGGTCAGGACAACCAGTTTTAACCCATCAGTGGTTCTCAAATGGTGGTACACATACCACTTGAAAGTCCGTCGGCAAGTTATTATTATTATTATTATTAATCATTGCATTTATATAGAGTTTTTCAAGATACCCAAAGCACTTTACAATTGATTAGTCATTCACTTAATACTAAGTGGTGGTAAGCTACTACTGTAGTCACAGCTGCCCAGACTGACAGAAGCAAGGCTGCCAATCTGTACCATCAGCCCATCCGACCACCGCCATCACTCACGCACACTCCACTTTCATACTAGGCAATATGGGTGACGTGTCTTGCCTAAGGACACAACAGTTTTTGCCACTGGTGCCCCACTGTGGCACCTGGAATTCCCAATGGTTTCCCATTCAAGTACTACCCAGCTTCTGACTTCTGACGAGATCAGGCTTTGACAAGCCTTTATGGCCAAGTGGGTGCCTGTGCGGTTCTATAGGGTTAAGTTAATTCAGAGTCATTTTAGTTGTATTTTTTCCTCTCCTTGATCCTTAAAAAAAAAAAAAAAAAAAAAAAAAAAACTACTGCGGTGTAGTCTATTTTTACAACTGCTTTAGGCCTAATTTTAAAGTGCAGTTTTAGAAATGGTGCTATTGGGTAGGCCCAATCTTCTTGAGTAGTACTTACTATGAAAAGTTTTAGAACCACTCACCTAGAACATCATTACCATCCAGAACCCACAGCATCTTTGCTCAAAGGCAGATCAGCTAACCAATGGAGCATTCTTGCTATTGCTTTAGAAGACTCTTTAACAGATAATTAGAAAAATAAAGGGCATATACTTGATCCATATGAATTCAAGTGCAGGTTTTGGAAACAATCCAAAATCTGATGCTAAAGTGTAGGTTGTCTTGGGCTATGTCTCTGGACTCTTGGGCTCCTCAGGGCCCCAGAGGAGACGAAGCAATTAAGCAGGTGCTCAGGCAGAGATGAACTGGGGCTGAGGGGCTACAGAGACCAGCGACCAGCGAGACTACAGCAAAATTTAGCCTGATGTACTGCGTGAAATCACAACAATTTGTATCTTAGTATTTGTTTAAACTCTGTGTAATGTATACTGCAGTGTGTCCAAGTTAAATTCTTATTGTGGGAAAAGTAAGTAATGAATCTTCCCTGAACATTTTGAGGTGTGGCTGGGTTGAATAAACATAGCCTGACTGTCAATAATTTCAAGTCTATAATAAAATATAATAATGTAATAAGTGAAATTAAAAGGAGGAGGAGGATTTATTTATTTTGTGTGTGTTAAGTGTTTATTGAGACAGAAACTATATAGGCATTGTAATTGTTGTATATTATGTTTTTTTTTTTTTTCCATGGAATTAATTTGAAAATGCCCCTCAGCAATTTCCTGTAAGTATCCCCTCAATGTACTTCTTGTCAAGGCTTATTTATTTACCTCACTACCTCTTACAGTCCACTTTACAGTTTAACCATAGGCCAAGAATTACTGTCACCCCTTTCCGGTGAATACAGTGGAGTGTTTTATGAAAGAAACATTGCTCTTGAGCTAAAAATACAAGATGAGACGGAACCAACCCCCTCTCTTTGGAATATAGTGAGACGCCCACTGGTGTTCTCGGTCATTCAAACCCCATATACATCCACAGGGACACTGCTGGCCATAAATAAAAAATGGGACATAAATAAAATAAAAAATTAAGCATAACTGTGAAAAGGGGCATTAGCGTCTCCAGGGTGATTAATCATTTAGCTGTTCTCATAATAAACTCTTTAACCGTAATGGCCTATTTACATTGTTCTCTCCATTGCCTGTTTTGGTCAGAGGTTTGCTTTTCCAAAACTGACAAGGGTAGACGTAACTACGTTAAACTATTCAGATGATCCAAATTAATGTTTATATTGTTTTTTTTTTCTTTTTAGATTGTGGCTAGTTGAATGTGTTTAATATCTTTTATGGAAATAATATCCATTTAAGGCAGACCTGGACATTGTACAGCTCCCAGGTCACACAATGTCCTTTGGTTGACTCTGACTGGCCTGCTTAAGCTCATTTGGAATTACAAAATAAACATATTTGATCATTTTACCTCATGCATAAACTAAAGCTGCATTGCTTTTATTTTAGAGATGTTTTTTAATGAAATTTTTTTGTAAGGCAACCTCACTTTTTCATTGCTTAGTCATAACATACACTTGTATGAGTTTTGTCTAAACAATGCATTTTTTTTTTTTTTTTTTTTTTTTTTTTCTTAAATAAAGAAATACAGTTAATATTATGCTGAATTGAGTTAAGCATTTTGGCCTTGCCCTCCACAATATTTTGTGTTTCTCTTGTGACCCCATGGAAAAAATAATTGCACACCCCTGCTTTAAGCTTTTCATGCAAGAAATGTCCAGTGTTAATAATCTGCTGCAAAGTTAGAATCTTAAAAACTGTTTTCAACTTGTAAAGTTTGTTCAAATCGATTTCTTTGCATGCATTTTATTGTAGGCCTAATAGAAATGTTAGATTACATACTTACAACTGATTACAGTAAATAAAATCAAATTAAATGGATTGTTAGACAAACAACCTAAATTAGAAATGGTTGACACTGGCTGACATTGCATAGAAATTAAATCCCATTCACTAAAAGGCTACAGCTGTACTCTGATGTAGCGCGTAAACGTTGCCCGGGCTGTAAATACCCATAGACCAGAGACTGATGAGCGGTGGAGGCAGAGGCGCTGTCCAAGGTACTGCATTCGGCCCCTCCCCGGTAGACATCACGGAGAGACACGTGATTCTCGCTGTCTGTGGCTCTTGACAGTCGCTGGATAGGCTCAACGGGGGAACCAGATTGCACCTTCTCCTCCGCTGAAGATAACGGGATTTTCTCCACTGCGCACCGGCGACGGAGCTTCCATTCAGCCGCTCCAACTGGCTTTTCATCTTTTTCCTTTTTGTCTTGAGTTTGTGTTTTTGGACACTGGAAACTAACTTCATAAACGGATTACTGGAGGTAATGTGAACACTATAGGCAATCGAGTTTTGGTGTGAAAGTGTTGATGTTTTTTTCACTTAAAAACTGGTCTCGGTCAGACAGTTTGCACGTAAAACCAGGCAAGATTTGAAATAGGACGCACTATCCTGTCATATTTCCCAGTGGGAGCTTTGTGAAAAATAGCTATTTACTCGCAAATAGTTCGGGGTCCCATTCAAGTAACACTTCTAAATGCCAGTTCTTTGCATCCAAAACACGCTAACGATCAGGAGTCCCAAGTAGTCACACGGAATGGTTCGTTGTTCGTGTGCGGAGTGAAGATGCCCTGCTTTGCAAATGAGACGAAACGCTAACTTAGATTCGCTGATTGCAAGTAAAATGGATTTTAATTCACGCACACGATGCATGTCTGTTCTTAAAGGAAACAGTTTTCATAGTTTGTTTCTCTGTGATCTATCCAGAGATGTTTGGATCTTTGGGTTAAAAAGCGATCCGGTGCGAGAGGGGAATAGTGATGAGGCAGACAGAATGGAGCAGCAGCGGACTGTGGAAGGCAGCAGCAGCGGTCCCGCTCGCCGCTTCGTCTCACACAGACCGGGCTTTGTGGAGCGAATGACGCACTTATTCACACGCTACAGATGCTCGTTATTGCGCGCACGTAAAGGAATGCCATCGCTGAAAATAAACGAACTTTTGGGACTCGAGTCAATAGCTCTAAACAAATCTGAGTTAGGCGACCAGTGATTATTAACATATTCTCATCTAGATTCTAAACGATCAAACATATATATATATATATACATTGAAAAAAAGACTCGGGATTGTAGTGATTGATTTGATATGTGATACAGGAGGTTTCGATTTGCTCCATGTGTGCATACAGAAGCTGCTCTGTGCGAAGACTGTTTTGTGTGCAGCTGTGTGCTACCAGGAAAGCCTGATATGAATCTAATGATATGGTTTGAGAAGACACAAAGGCCTGTGTGGAATAAATGCCAGAGGAGTGTACCTAAATACTGTGATTAGACTGATGATAGTCTTTAGAGTGAATGGTGATGAGGGTTTTGGACACAAGCGTTCAACGCACAAGTCGAAATGCTCACTGTGTTTTCTTTCTTCCTCTTTTTTACAGCATTGGGACTAAGGAGCTCTTTGACAGACAGCCTGCCTCTTCTGTCACGTCAAGTTGGTTACATATGGCATTTTTACAGAGGATGCAGGGTGAAGAGCCCCAGGCGAGGCTCCTAGATCCTGACCAAAGAAAAGAGGCATGAACATGAAGCTGCTATTTCACCTCGAGTGAAGCAGTGTCTGACTGGCAACACAAGAGACACTTCCTCATTATACAAATTAGACCAACTGTGCCAATGGATTTTTGACTGCGGTTCATTTTGATGTAAACAGCCATGGCAGAGAGGACCTTTAGACAGAGCCCAGTGTTCTGGAGCGAGCAGTGAGAGCTTTGGCAGTGGCCTGGCCTGTGTGAGGTAATGAGATTCGCTCCAGGGAACAAGTGGTGGCCAAGAGTTTTGCGTTGCACAAACCAAGTGTTTAAGCATTTCTTATAAAATGCACCTGTTAGCCCTGGTGTGCCCATCTAGACAGGCTGATTTATAACATTCGTACTTATTGGAAAGATAAAGTCAGATTGAACCCATTTCATTTAGACTTCCTGTAGTTAGTGATTTCACCATGGTCCTTCAGAAGCCCAGTGGTACCCATGTCCTGTGGGTGGCTCTTGTAGTGTGCTGTTTGTTGGAGATGAGTTCTTGTCTGGAGTTTTCCGGAGCTGAGGGCCAGTGGGCCAGGTTCCCCGTGTGGAACGCCTGCTGTGAGAGTGAGATGAGCTTCAACATGAAAACCAAGAGCTCCCAGGGGCTCCTAGTGTACTTCGATGACGATGGATTCTGTGACTTTTTAGAGCTGCTCATAATCAACGGTAAACTCAGCCTTCGCTTCTCCATCTTCTGTGCTGAGCCCGCCTCCATCCTGTCTGACATCGCGATCAACGACAGCCAGTGGCACAGCGTGACAATACGGAGAAACTTTAAGAACACCACTCTGGTCGTGGACAGTGAGGTGAAGTGGGTGGAGGTGAGGTCCAAGAGGAGGGACATGACCGTCTTCAGTCACCTGTTTGTTGGGGGGATACCTCCGGAGTTACGCTCGGTTGCCCTGAGGCTCACGTCTGTGGTGGTGAAGGACCAGCCCCCGTTCACTGGGTGGATAACCAACATCACAGTGAACGGCACCGAGGCCGTGCTAGTCAACAGTGAAGGGGTCCTGCAGGATGTGTGTGGTACTGCTAACATGTGCTTAAATGGAGGAGTGTGCAGCCTGATCAACGATGAACCCACCTGTGACTGCTCCCACACCGGCTACCAGGGCAAGGACTGCAGTGAAGGTAAGGCATCTGACTCAGTCCATACACAGAGCAGCATGTTCTCTGTCATTTAGAGCATTCCCCTCCTCTATTTCGTCATGCGCCATTGATTTGCTAAACAGTTTGTTTGTATGGCTGTCTCTCCTACTAGGCCTCATTAGTAAAACTTGCAGGTGTTTCTGTCCCCTAAGGTGTTCTCCATTCTTATCAAAGTAGCTCCACAGGGATTGGTTGACCTATGAAACATCTCCAATGGCTTACCCCCAACCACCATCGAGCAGTCATTGTCAAGTGAGAGGAAGTAAACATGGATTAAACCAGTGACCTCATCGAAAACGGTCCAACCACTGCGCAGGCTCTCAGATCCAGTGATTCAGTTCATTATCAAACCCAAATAAAATTACATATAGTTTCCACTTAAATACACTTAATTTATTTTGATATATTTGATTATCTAAAACATAAAAAAGTTAATAATCTTTAGTCTAATATAGAGTTAGCTACAAGCACGTATATATTCTAATTCTTCTTTTACTATTGATAACAACATATGGCTTAGAAGATCCCTAGATTGAGCAAATATTATGAAGGATTATTGTGGTGTGTAAATGTGATCTGGGATATTTAATGTAGAATTTTGCTGGCATTGCACAACTGAGTTAATCTAAATTATTTTGCAAACCTTTCTTCCATTTCGCTGCTTTTTGTAACCAAACCTGCAGTCACTAACGCAATGAAAACATCAGCTTTCCACAAATGAGCCAAGTGTTTATTTAACCTGCTGCAGATCAGGGAGCTGCATGGCTTTATTAACACAGACCATCAAAGAGTTTGTTTAATAAGAAATCACATCAGTCTTTTCATGTACAAGCTCTTGACAGTCTTTTCATAACTGATAACAACCCATTCATGTATTTAAACAGCTCAAATCATCCCATCTTAAACTGTTGTGTATCAGAGGTTAATCAGGCTTTTGTCAGGCACTCGCACCTGGAAGTCAGGTTAATGAGCAAAACACTCCACATTTATCAATAGCGCTTTTCCCATCTTAATCGGTTCTTGACTTGCATCTTTATGATTGTTTTGAGGATGCAGTGTCAGTTGTGTAATTCTAAACAGTATGCCTCTATCTCATAATCATCGTCATATTCCTGCCTGCTTTATGCGTAATTTTCCAGTCTGTCTGTAGAGCAGGTGAGCAAAGTCATTATCAAGATTTAAATGACATACTTATATTGATTTCATTCAAATTAAACAAATTTTATTCATTTGTTTGAGTTTACAAAGTGCAGACTCAAGACTTTGATTTAGTAATTTTCTTTAAATATCCTCACAATTACATCGCAAGAGTGTGTATTTAAAGAGCGCACTTTACATTGTTTTCTGATCTATGTCATAATATTGTTTCCTCATCCAAAACATACCTGGAGTTGTGTTTTGTTTCATACACACTTGTTTAACAGAGAAATCCTGCGTATTTAGGCTGAGATCTTTTCAAATACAGGAAATGCTCGACAGTGTTTTAAAACTCCATGCACCTTCACTAGATTCATTTGGATGATTTCAGACCTAGAATTGGCAATCTCTCCTGAGAAAAAGATAAAAGGTAACTTGAAAACTACCACTAAATTATATCACAAGGTGGAACAGAACATTTTGATCTTTTGAGATGTAAAAAGACTAACAATAAATGATTACTCAAACGTGTGTAAATGGAACAAAACACAGCTCCTGGTATGTTTTTGATTAGGTAAGAGCATTATAACATGGCCTAAAGCTCACAGATTCAATTTTGCGTAATATAGGACCTTATAGCAGTTCAAAAGCATAATAATGTAAAATCACATTATAATTACATTTCTGATCATTTCGTAGCGTTAAATCAACAAATCATGGGATAATATTCGTTCTTCTGTTACTTCATGCTTATTTCTCCTGCTACAAACTCTTGAGGTATCATGTGAAAGCTTGTGGGTTATGACCTCATTCACCACTGGAACATTAAACCTGTAGGAGTGGGTACAGTAAAGCCGTTATATGGACTTGTGCCTAATTAGGTTGAGTTAGTAGCGGAGCAGAGCAGCTCCCTGCTCTGGAGCATGTCGCACACGCAGAGCACAGCTGGTAACTGCAGCTGCACTTTACTGCTGCATGGTTTGACAGCTCTATGACAAGTCTTCATTCCTACCATTGTTTAAACTAACAGAGTGGCACATATTTTACAAACAAGTCAGCCATTTTGTATGAGTCAGGTAATTCAGTTGTTAATCTTCTGAGCAGAAATCACATTATTAAATTTAAGGAGAAATTGTGACATTAAAATCAATGAGCCCTTAGATGCTAAAATGGAAATCTAGCTCTGCTTAAAATGACTTGACTTGGACTTGTTTTGGGTTGATTGAGTTTAATTACTTAAATGTCTATTGTGTAACCTTTCTAGTGGAGGGTCCATCACCTGCATTTTCCATGGAGATGTTATTGCCTTGTCTGAAATGTTTCACAGTACAGTATTAAACCTTTCTGTCATCATGGAGACCAAACTAGGCCAAGTTACAGGTGAGATTTGTGGAGAGACAACCTGTTCACAGTCAGAATGCCTGTTTTCTAGGTATTTTTGAGCAATAAATCCACCTGTAATTGGATAAATGTAAGATAAAACTGTTTAATGTCATACTGTGAAACAGAGCAATGACATGTCCATAGAAACAAAATGACAGACCCCCAACCGAAAAGTTACATAGTGCACCTTCAAATGAGATATACTTTTTTTTTGTTTTCAAAACATCGCTGAATGGCTAAGATAATGGTTAAGATAATTTTGTTTAAAATAAGAACATCTTTTTGTTACACCAATGGTAAAATGGCTTGAAAAAAAAAAAAAAAAAAAAAAAAAACTCTGAAACTGGTCACAAATATTTTTAAACAATTTAAACTCTATGTTCTGATTCAGGTAATTTTAGATCTAAAATTGAATTCTTATTTCACATTCAAAGCAGTTTCCCCAAGTAGTTTTTTTTTATTGGTTAAAATAAAATTTAACTGAAATGTCTGTCCTGATTTAAACCAATATATTTTAGAACAAGTCTTCAGTGTCAGAGAGGCTTATAAAAACTGCAATTACACACCTGCAATCACTGGTGTCTATTTATAGCCCAATGTGACACTAGCATTCCAAGACAAGAAAACTGAATTCCTTCAGGAGTCATTAGTGCTGAAAAGCATGAACTTCTGACTCTCTGATATTTAATTTACAGGACAAGTTTGGATTGAGACTAAAGATAATGTGGATTTGCTACTCATGTATTCAAAGTTGTTTTTGTTTTGATGTGAACATTTGCTTTCATGGCATTTGCAAGTGATGAATGCTTCTACTTGCTTTTTGGTATTTGATGCTGAATTATATTATGATTTTACATTTTGTTCATTGTAAACAACCTTATTGATCTAAAAATATAAAGAGTATATAAACCTATCTATCTCAAGGTCTACTACAGACAATATTACAGGTCAGAGCTGTGGCAAGGCAAGCATTCACAGAGAGGATTATTGCATTTTTGAGCAATAGAAACACCTGTAATCAATAGATTCTAGATAAAGGTGTTAAATATCATACCGTGGAACATTCTAGGCAAAGCAATAACATCTCCATGGATACAAGCAGGTGATGGACCCACCACCAGAAAAGTTGCCCAGTGCATCGTTAAGTGTTCTACAGCATTGTTAACTTGTTTTACAAACTTGTTCCACTTTGATCAGATGAAGGATTACGGGCTTTTGTGCTGACCTGTCAAATGCCCCAGTGTCCAATCCCGAACCAGCGCAGCACATAAACAATTATTGAAATGCACTGTGCCCTGGTCAGCCCTGGTGTCTCATTAGTGAAATCACATAGATGCGGCATACACAGCTCTATAGTTGATCCTCACAATAAATGGGATGATGGAGTCACTGCTCTGAGCCAAACTGTCCAGGTGAAAGTGGGACTGCATTATATGGACAGCGGGAACATTGTAAAACATATTAAAGTTATACTATTATTTTTACAGTTAAAGGCCCAATATAATGGATTATGTAGGTTTTTATCACTATGTGTAAGTTCCTTAGACATAGTATTTTGTTGAACAGATGGAAAACAAATGATTGCGAGCAGTGCACAGTTAAAAGCTAAAAGTATAACTTTAGCTTTTTCTTTGTGAACTTTCATTTACAATGATCAGATTGAATTTGAATTTGGACTAGCCCAGGGGTGTCCAAACTTTTTTCATCAAGGGTCATATATCTAAACACAGATGAAGCAGAGGGCCGATTGAGGACCATAGACTTGTGCTCAGTACAGTGAATAATTGAAATATGTGCATGTTTAACAAGATAGAATGAGCCCTCAGTCTTTATTCATGCTAAGATCCTTAAAACCGCACACTAAATATTGAATATTAGCTTTATCAAGGTAGATTTAAAAAAAAAAACTTGCAGTAAAAAGTAAATTTTTAATTGATGCAACGTAATTTGGGACAATTCTCCTGGAAGCCTGAGGGCCAAGAAAAATTAGTTTGAGGGCCGCATTTGGCCCACGAGCCTTAGTTTGGACATGCCTGGACTAGCCCGTAATGACTGCAGAGCTCCTGGTATGATTTTGATTAGAAAACATTGTAACAGAGATGATTTAACATATAGTTTAAAGTTTTTGCACAGAAGAGTCCACAATAATAATGATAGTGCATCCTTGTGCTCAATAGAACTGTTTAAATTTCAATGTGTGGCACGAATCGTAAAACTGTCCAGTTGTATTTTCTCAATCAAAAGCAAATGATTTATGATACACATTTTAGAAAACGATATTGCATCTTGCACATCTAGCATTTCATAATCATTAAAGTTGGAAATAAAATTCATATCCTGGACACTTCTCTTTATGCATTCGCTCTGAGAGGCTACATCCTGTTGTTAGCTAACCATTATCTGTGTGCTTTACTCTGGATCCCATGCTATTACCATAATGCATTTCTTCTCTTTTGGTTATG